CTTTTATGCACGTTCTGTCGGTCGGAATCCGTCGGGCGTTGCGCCGGGAAGTTTGTTTAAACATGGGATCAAATGGGACCCTATTACGCGGAATATACGCTGCGTTTCGGCGTTCCGTCGGGGAAATTTTTTTACATGGGATATATGGAACCCTTTTAGGCCACGGCGTATTCCGTTGGGCGGTGCTCTACTTATACCTTTACATAGTTGGGTAGTCTTACAACAACATATTTAAAATGAACAACGCGCGTTGTTGCCAGTACAACAGAACGGCGCGCGGTACAGACTGTCGTGCATCACGCATAGACACGCCCACTGGTTGAATTATAATCGTCTGCTCTGTAATTCCTGGAGAAATAGCTGCGAAAAATTCTAGAAAGATAGTTTTATGAACACTTTTAATACACTAGCCCATTAAATACTTTATCCTACCAAAACATTGTCCTAAGCTGGTTAGCCTTTTTTTAGCTTATAAACAAGTGGTTTGTTGATCTTTAGTGATTTATATTAATTTTTGTATTTAGTTTATTATTAGACTGCAATACAACATAATTTTATCGAAGATTCGAAACATTTTCCGAAAAGATATGTGTTTTTGAATGATTGCAAACATTTCAAGGTTTACAAAACATGCTTGATATTCCATCCACCATTCACACAACTGTAACGTAACAGTAAGAGATTTTATTACGAAACATTGTCATAATTAAACTCATTGACTCCCACACTGTTTAGTGTATGGCGTACATCATCACCATCGTCCTTCCATAATGTATTTATTTATTTATGGTTTATACTATTAGTCTATTATTGGAATTAGAAAATTAGGTTAGCTGTATGTTTGTCTTAAATTTCCCTAAGCAAATTTTTTAGTTTAAATAAACCAACCCATAAATATTTTTCATATTCGAAAATTCGCTAATTTCAGTGGTAACTTCATACAAATTGTTCTTCAAAATTGAACTGGTTAAACTTGATTTCTTTGGTTACATTTTCCAATAGAATAAAGTTTTAGTCCTCATTTATCGATGTGTTTAACCACATATACTTATAGTAAAGTTTGTAAATGCAAAATTATCGTAACCTATGCGAAACGTAAATATTTTATCATATACTAATTATAAACTAATTAGGATAGACTCTACCCAACATAAATAACAACAGGACTGTAAGATTGTACCTAGCCTAAATTACGCAAACGACATTTTAATGTAAAACGGCCTTAGTCTAGATTCGGTGGTGTGGCTTACAATGTCGTTACAAATAATATTCTTTCTTTTAAGTAAGTAGCTGTAATCATACTATATTTCTATGAAGTAAATACTCTCCATAGATTAATATACTAGATTATTTATGTTCTAGGACTAATTTAATGTTAATTTTTATTTGTCTTCTAGTTTACTAACTATTATTAGTGTTCCAAGGCCCCAACTAGTAATCATTGTTAACCGGGATAGTGCCACGTAATAAAACATTTAAGAAATGCAAACATATAGAATTAACCCTGAAGCCTTTTCCAGGTTGTTAAGGGGAAGAGTTAAGCCACTGAACTATTTATTTTTAGAATTCAAACAAAACATGGTATACTTACAAAATTCTTAATGATTGTAACCAAATGTTGGTGAGTCAGTGGCTCAGTTGGTAGCGTCACGGACTTCGGGCCCAAGGCAGCGATGTCGTGGGTTCGGATCCTGGTCACTGCCACTAAAATTTATCAGTACAGTTCACCTTCGTACTGTACCGGCTCACCCCTTGCTTTGCTGGATACGTTCCATGCACAGATCTGTAGATCTGTAGGACAGGCAAATGTAAGGTTAAAAGAGGTCGCCAACCTCTTAAAAAAAAAAAATTAAATTAAATTCTGGCCAAAAGGAAATGGCATTTAAAAAATCACATAACTGGTTCATAAATAGGTTTACAAATAATGTGATGGAATGCAGTAAATATTTAATTCATAAAATTAGGTGCTAGATTCTTTTATATGAATTTCTACACCAGTTAACCGATCAACACGTCCATTCATTGTTGATTGGCTGTAGTAAGCGGTGTGAACCAATTATCTGGTTAAATGAAGGGTAAACACAAAGGCCTCCGGACGCCACGTTGCAGTTATTAACATTCTCTGGGCGTTACCGTACATGATATGTACTATAACTGTGAATTAAATTATGAGAGTGTTTCCTTATAAAATTTTTCATTATGTGGTTTGTTTATTTAAAATACATGTTTAAGCAATATGTGTGGGCGTGGTCCATTCCCAACGTGATCATAAATGCACTATGGCTTGACAGATTTCTTTTAAGTTATACTTGACAGAAATGTTGTTTGTTGTTGAGAGTTATTAGTTTTACTAATAACCCTGTCATATATTCAGTAAAACAATTAAAGACAACCTTTTATTTATAGTTTGAAATAATTGTAAGGATATTTTATTTAAGATTAAAAATACCATACCGGGTTTCTCCTGACCTGAGACAGAATTATTTTGTTGCTAATGTTCTTATTTTCTTTAGCCACGAACTTTCTTCACTTTTTTTATTTTTTTTTATTTTTTTTTATTACACTTCTCCGTGCGTTGCATACAAACCTCGATACCCGGTCATTTTACGAAAAATTAAATTTGTTCGGCCAGATTTTTCACACCTTTAAACTGACCAAGGGAACTGGTTAATGAAGCCGCCATTTTGATCACATCCCTCGAATGGTGTACTGGTGTACTGGTATATGTTCATCATTTTTCTCATTTGTCTTGTTTTAGGACTGGTCCTTCGTCTATGTATTAAACATCTTATTTTAATGATTTAATTATTTAGCTTTATACATTGCGATACAAGGTAATTTAAAATTGTTGTTTAAAGATAATTTGGTAGAAATTTTGTTGAGAGAATCTTTTCAAATCGATATAAAATTATAATTTGGTAAAAATATATTTTTTATTCGTACGGTACCCCAGTGACTTAATGAGACGGCAATTCTAACTGATAATAGAAATCACAGAAATTGCAATAGACAGTTTTCTTATAACCATGCACACATTTTCTAATAAATCAGCAATATTAATTATCCACTAACTGAAAAACATATTACGTTAAAGGTTTTGTAATGAATAACAATCTGGCAAAAGCGGTGTTTTCCCCCAGGCCACTTTAATACCGAAACTTTTTCAATAACTCTTGCAAGCCTTGACTGTTTTGTATCTGTGATATATGAATGTTACTTTTCATCTACCAGTGACCAATTTAGATCGAGGTTTTAATAAATTAGGATCAATTTTAATTTTATGTATGTCCAAGAACAAAGTTAAGCTCATTAGTATTCCCTTAATTCATTGTATCAGAGAACAACTATAACGTATAGTATTATAAACAATATATATAAAAGTACAACTGTTGTACTATGCACGTTAAACATTGCTATTATTTTTTGTGATCTACGACATATAATTATTCGACATCAACTTAAAAGCTTTTATATCACACCGCTAATTTTGGATAGAAGGGATTTATTGTCTACAATATATAGTAACTACTACACGTCTAGTGGAATAAATTAACATATGTGTGTATTATTACGTACAGATGAATACATCTAATCTTTACGTTCTACTAAAATATTCCCTTACCTAATTGTCAGATTATTATTTCCTAAATAAGTATTTAGGTTTGCTGCTACGGGGAAAGTATTGGGATGTGTTTTTTTTATTCATTTTTTTATTGAAATGTTGATAGCTTGGTATAAAATAAACAAAATATCCAAGTTTGATTAAAATATATCTATAAACAAACAAACTACAATAGTTTATTTATTCTCCATAAGAATCAAATGAGAATTTTTAGTTTACAAATCTTATAATTATCTCTGTAACCGTACGTCATACAACGCTTCCATATACAAAGTTATTTCTTTTTTTAAGCTCTACAAATTGGTTTAGAGACAAATCATGACATGTGTTTTAGGTTAAAAAGGAAATAATCTATTTTCAACCCAAAAACCCCCATAAACCCCCGTTCCCATAGTCCGATTATGCTCGTTTGCGAACTCGTTCAAATAAACGTACACGTTTGTGCCAAACTTCATAACAATTTGGATATTTTTGTCGGAATTATCACGCTAACGAACACTTATATTATATACAGTTTGAACGGAGGGTGTTTTAGGCTCTTGGGACCTCAAAACGTAAATGTAAATTGGTTCCGGGTCTAGGTCTTACCATGAGACCTACGCTAATAGCCTATTCCCTATATGGGAAACTCCCTAAAATGCGATCGCTACTATTATACTATTATACAATATACAATTGAGCCGATTGTGGTTATATTTTCCTGACTTCATCCTCAGTTAATTTGTAGTTTTTACCTTTTAAGATTATTTTTAAAATTCCATACCACTGACAGAAATGTAAAACGCATTATATTGATATGTCATCCAAAGCAGACGCCATTTGACAGTTGCCTTTGTTGTCCTTTATTCAATGGCTCCGCGTTGAATGGTTCGTGTCACCGTGGAAATGATAAAGGGTTGCCTTGCTTTGTGTTATTTATCGTTCAGTTTTTTTTATTTATCTGTATGAATTTATAAAATATATGCGTTTACTATCAAATAAATAATTGGATTTGCATACTCCACAACTTGAGCAAAACAAAATACATATAGAAGACTTAATTATCGAAACTGAATATTAATAACTATAGAACTATATGCCAGATGCTACATCAAATTTACCCATAGGAAAGTGTGAATTGTAATAGGATATCGCGTCAAAACCATTTAGCCACTTGATGGCCAAGGAATATTAATTCAAACTGACTGGGTAGCTGAGTGGTTAAAGTGCTTTCTGTAGAATTACACTAAATGATATTAAAAATATAAAAGAACCATTTTATTGAATTCTTAAACACAACCTAAGCAGAATATTTACTAACAAACTTAATAATAATAAATCAGCTGATGTATTAATTACTTATACATTTAACTATCTAACACTTTTCCCCTCTTTCTTTTTACACGGATTCAACAGCTCCCATTCTTTGTCTCATCTGGTCCGCATGTTTCCTTTTTATAACACCTCCACAATGTACATCATATGAGTACAGTCCATTTTTATTTTTCACCACTCCAGCTGACCAACCATTCCCATGTTCATTCTTAATCCACACATCTTCTCCTTCTTCAAAAGTTCGAACTTTTTTGTTGTCCCTCCCTTGTTCTTTCCAAAGCTTCGTCTCCATCTTTTTCCTAAGATTAGGTTTCATATTGTCAAAAATTGTTGGTAGTCTACGACCGAGAAACAATTCTGCCGGAGCCCTACCAGTTGTTTTCTGAGGCGAGTTTCTGTAGCTAAAAAGAACATTTTGAAGAGCTAGCATTCCATTTCCAACATCCTGCTTTGTTGTGTAGAACCGTCTTTTCAAAGTACGAATTAGTCTTTCCACAAGTCCATTACTTTTAGGATGGTAAGGAGTTGTTTTTATGTGGTTGATAGAATTTTTCTCAAAAAATGTTTCCATTTCCTTTGATACAAATTGAGGTCCATTGTCTGTCACGATTTCACTTGGTATTCCATATCGACTAAACCAAGATCTCAATCGTTGTCGTTGAATGATTGTTGAAGAGTTTGTTGTCTTGAGACAGTCCACTTCTGCCCACTTTGACAAAGCATCAATACCTACCAACCACATAGATCCGTTGACTGGCCCTGCCAGATCAATGTGTACCCTTTCCCAAACTCTATCAGGTACATTCCAAGGATATAATGGCACTTTTTCCACATTATCTCGATTCTCTTGACAAGATGTGCACCTCTTGATATAAACTTCGATATCTTTATCCATGTTGGGCCACCATACATAGTGTCGTGCTACAGACCTCATTGATACAATACCAGGATGTCCTGTGTGCAATATCTTCAGAACATCAGTTCTCATGCATTCTGGAACTACAATTCGTCCAAACCACAATAATATGTCATCTTCAACACTCAATTCATCTTTCCTCTGTTTGTATGACTTCAACATTTCAGGAACAACAGGGGGCCATGTATTTCTCAATACAAAGTTTTTTGCCATTTTAATTGCTTTATCTGTAAATGAATTTTGTTTCAAGAGGTCATAAGACATGATAGAGTTAACCTTATCAACATTCAAAAAACCAATGTGAGCCTCCTCAGGTTGATCTTCTTCAATCGGAAGTCTTGATAGAACATCAGCACACACATTATCTTCTCCTTTTCTGTACTCTATGTCATAGTTGTATTGATTCAACTGGAGAGCCCACCTCACTAAACGGCTATTTACAACTTTTGGTAGATCTCGCATAGTTCCAAATATCCGTTGTAGAGGTTTGTGGTCGGTTACTAAAGTAAACTTCCGACCATATACATATTGATGAAATTTTCTGAGTCCAAACATAACAGCTAGCGCTTCTCTGTCGATATTTGAATATTGTTTTTCAGCGGGCAATAGTGTACGACTGGCAAAAGCAATTGGTCTTTCTAGTCCACCTTCATATCTGTGCATTAGTACACTTCCCAATCCATTTTCTGATGCATCACAGACCATAACCAATGGTCTCATTTCTTCGTATGGCACTACTGTGTCTTTACTTGATAGAATTTCTTTTACTCTTTTAAATGTCCCTTCTTCTTGTTCGGACCATTTCCATTGTGATTTAGTCCCAGTCAGCTTATGGAGATCACTGCAAATGGCATGAAGTCCCGGAATAAATCGTTCATAGTAATTAATAGGACCTAAAAATGATCGGAGTTTCTTGACATTAGTAGGTGACCGTGCTTCTCGAATAGCTTTTATTTTTTCTTCAGTATGATGTATTCCATTCCGGTCGATTGTATGTCCCAAGTAAGTCACTGACTCTTCAAAAATTTGCATTTACTAGACTTTGCTTTTATACCAGCTTCTTTCATTCGTTTCAAAACCTCTCTCAAATTTCGTAAATGCTCGTTCTTATTCCTTCCAGTTATTATAATATCGTCCAGAAGAACTCCAACCTGTGGTATCACAGCTAAGAGTCTTTCCATATATCTTTGGAAAATACCTGGACTAGATGATATCCCAAAAGGTAAACGTTTGTATTTATAGTAACCACTATGCGTTACTATTACTAAATACTTTCGGTGTTCTTCTGCAACCTCCATTTGTAGGTATGCATCTCGAAGGTCTATCTTGGAAAACTCTTGTCCGCCTGCAACTTTGTTTGTTAGTTCCTCAAATGTCGGAATAATTGCATTTTCTGGGACCAAATTTTGATTCAAAGTGACTCGGAAATCTCCACAAATTCTTATTGAACCATCATTCTTATCTACATTAACTGTTGGGGTAGCCCAGGGAATAGGTGTCGCAGCAGGATCTACCTCTTCAATGATATCCTCATTTACAAGTCTTGTAAGTTCATTCTCAATTCGTTTTTTCAAGTTAAACGGAACCCTGCGCGCTGAAAAATGTTGAGGGTTTGCATCTTCTCGAACGTGAATTCGTGCTTTATAACCCTTGATTTTCCCATGCCCTTCAGAGAACACATCTTCAAATTCTTTTAGTACTTCCTTAACCCTCACATCATCCATCTTATATTGATTATGATTCTGCTTACATTTTACTTTACTAATAGTGACATCAGGAGGGAGGTTCATATTAAAGGCTAATATCCATGGTAAACCAAACAGCGGTTTCTCATTTCCATTTACTACTGCTACTTTTAATCTACGTGTCTCATCACCTACTGAAACATTGACATAACATTCACCAAGCATATCTAAAATATTGTTTCCATATGCCACGTATTTTGAATTAGTCTTATCAAGTCTTGGTGAACCAATTTTATCCCAAAGAGGCTTACCTATCATTGAGGCCCAAGCTCTAGAGTCAAATTCCATGTTTGTAGCTACCTTATTTAACTTTAAATGAATACGTGCTTTACAAATATGTCTTCTTTCCTTTTTAACATCGTTTATCCTCATGTCATGTGAGTCCGATTCTGATTCTTCATCTTCTGACTTTTCATGCAAATTATTCACTCGTTTTTGCCGACATACCTTTGCAAAATGTCCTATTTTTGTACAATTCAAACACTTTTGTTGATAGGCTGGACATTTACCAAATTCATGCTTTGTTCCACATCTACTACATGGATGATTTGTCTTTTCATTGTATTTCACTTCTCTTTTAAACTCCTTATTGTTTCTTCTTACTTGTGATACTTCCAACTCTTTATCATTATTCTTGAATATCTCATGACGAGCTCTTTCCATTGAAGTGGCCAGTTCAAAAACATCTTCAGATGTTAACTTGTCACCATTTTCTTTTACCCCATCAGGCCATCGTTGTCTAATTTCTACTTCAAACTCTGGAAAATTTATACCTCCAGCAAATCTATCTCTTATTCTTTCATCAAACTTGTTCTCATACTTACAAAAATCTGCTAAATTTTTCAAACGTATTACAAATTCTGAAAGACTTTCACTATTTTCTCTGATACTTTTTTCAAATTCCATTCTAGCTGAAAATATAGTTTTACTAGCTCTGTATACTGACCTGAAACCATTAACTAGTTCTGCCCACGTAGCCTGATGTATTTTTAAAGGCAGCAGAAAGTTTGAAACTTTTCTTAATGGTGCAGGACCCACATAGGCAAGCAAAAGATCCCTTCGAGCATCCTCTGCTCTCTACGAATCTTCTCCCAATCCTTTTACCTTGCATAACAATAGAAAATGTGCTTCATCATCATCCCACCTACTAGACTCATCATAGCTTTGACATTTGAACTTCTCTATCTTTGATTGTAATGCGTCTTCTATAGTTTCATACTTATCTGCTTCATTGATATAACTATTTCTTCTTTTGGTTCGTTTACTCATCGTCGCCAATGTAGAATTACACTAAATGATATTAAAAATATAAAAGAACCATTTTATTGAATTCTTAAACACATCAACCTAAGCAGAATATTTACTAACAAACTTAATAATATAAATCAGCTGATGTATTAATTACTTATACATTTGACTATCTAACACTTTCCTGACAGTCAAAAGGTCGCCGGTTCGATCCTGAGAAAGCTCTTGGTTTCTGATCAATGGGCTTTAGATAAATGGTTCTGACTGAAGAAACAGCGGATCATAGTCAGTAACAAAGCTACACAGATCATCTCACAACATTCTACACTCATCCTCCACTCATATTTTGGTTAATATACGCACCTAGGTGGCGTCCCCATCTCAAATAGTTGATAAATAAAATCTTAATTAGTTTCCTACTTAATCAAAAAATTAGACAAGGAAGAGAAATCGTCAACAAAAGTATATTTCGTTTTAAACTTATGTGGCATTTCATTGTTGGTTTCTCACTTCTCTTCTTCTACTACAAAGGACGTCACATAAAAGCCCCTATTGTCATAGTGATGAATGAAATGGTATTGTTATATGCAATAGACTGAGAGACATTTATTTAAATGTCTGTCTAAAGGTTTGCACCTGCCTTTTGATGCAGCATCACCTACAGCTACAGCTGAAATAGACTTCTTTTATAAGATAATTGATTTAAATTAAGATTTTTTTAAGTAGTGCTATCTGTATAAAATATATTTATTTTCATTAGATACGTGGCAAAATAAATTTCTAAGAAGAAAGTTTTGACTTTGGCTAAGAGGCCAAGTGTCAGTGTAAGACCTTTAGTGTTAAGCCGTAACCTTACGACTAAAAGGATGAGTTATTGTGATGTTAATAATTTAACATAGCAGAACTTTTTACCCTCATCCGAGCAGCCCTTTCAATAACATGGTAAGTTGTAAATGTACTTAAAACGAGTGTATGCATAAAATGTCCCAGTAAAACTAACTATATTTTACTATGCAACGCTATGGTGGTTAGCTTTGGTCTATGCTACGTTTGCTTAACAATTATTATAGCACTTTAAAAAGTATTTTTGACGTGTATTGTTTTTAGCGAATTCCCTATATAGGGAATGAGCTTTTACCGTAGAGGTCTCATGGTAACACCTGGATCCGGCACCGATTTCCTTTTTCATTTATATGTCCCCAGAGACCAAAATCACCATCCGTTCAAATTCATATATAGATGTGGTATATACCCTGTGAAGGTGGTTTTCCTACCTTCTTAAGAATAAATCTTTTTATGACTTTAACTTTTTAAAACATTTATTATTTTTTGCAAAATGTATACCATAATCCAGTTTGACATTAGTTCTGGTCAATAATCGGACACAATACTTTTGTACACACTTATGAATAAATAAGATGACAGAATACGTTAGGTATGAAGATAAATTTTAAGATTCTCTGAGACCTTGTTTATTGTTGCCAGACAAGGTTTACAGCTCAGCTCTGTTTGTCCTTTTGCTTACATAGACGTGACGATGAACCGCGGATGCCCACACACACGAGGCCATTGTTACATTCATAGTTAAATGTGCCTTCGTTACCATTGTTTTGAAGGCAAAGGAGGCAAGGAGCGTCCACATAGCCAGCAAGGGCGTTGTGTGTTGAATAAGTGTAGTATCCCTGTTTACATGCGCCACAGAACGAACCTGAAACCAAACCTTCATATAATTCTGAAAAATTCACATCTAACAAGGTCAATGCGTATTTGATTCAAGTTTATTAGCTTCGAATGTGTAATGTACAATATTCCAGCACCTTTATCAGTTTTTATGGAGGTAGGCTTAAAAAGTACAAAGCAGCGTCAATACAAAGTCAAAGTAATTTAATTCAGCTAGAATAACAATCATTTTGCATTGGCCAAGTCTTAACTTATAAAATTAAATTAAGTAATAAATAATATAATGCGATTTTCTTGTGACACACAACCCCTTTTGATGGCTTTTGGATGGTTGTGAACGAGCTGGCGGGGCGATCAAATAAGAAAGACCCCTTTTTAGTTCAGAAATATCTTCCAAACGTATCCAGAAGTGGTCCTGATTTAAGAAAGAGTGTAGCTGATGACTTTAACACGTTTTTCGCTTCTGTTGTATTTAACCTTGCCAGTTCAATAAATAGCAGCGGTCCGCCGATCATCAACGACGCAGATTACAGGCAAGACACTGTGTTTGCAGTTCATTTAACTTTGATTAAACAAGGCTAAACCATGGCTAAACACGCCTTATTTTAAGAAATCAATAATCAATTACCGGTATAGCTTGTTGGAATTTCGTTTACGAGAAATTTTGTTCCTTATTGTGGACGTATGTTGGCCACCTTGATCCTGTCCTGTGTTGATGATTCTGAATGATTCGTCTGCGAGACTGCGAGTTTGAATTTTGAAAGTGCAAGCAATGTAGCTCTTCTGTTT